TATAAGCAAATTGTGTAAAAAAAAAAAAAAAATACTGATCACTTCCCCAAAGTAGTACAATGTTACTATGGTAACATTGTACTACTTTGGTCATAGTAAAATATGAAAAAAAAAAATATCTTAAAAAAAAAAAAAAAAAGTAATAAAAAATTAAAAATAATAATAAAAAAAAAATACTGTCATACTGTTCATACTGTCACCAGTCAGTGTCCCTGTTCACCGCTATGCCAGTTATATGATGACGCTGTACTGCACTGGTGACAGTATGTAAAAAAAAAATAGTGAAAATTATTTTTTTCAATTTTTTCATTTTCCGAAAAATTATGACAAAAAAATACAACTTCAAAAAACTCGCCATGCCTCTTATGAAGTACGTCGGACTGTCTACTCTGCAAAAAGGGGTCATTTGGGGATATCTGTACTATTCTGACATTCTTGGACCTCAAGAAATTAGATTGGCTGTCAGTACTTCAGGATTGATCAATTTTCAGATCTATACCATAGTTTGTGAACTCTATAACTTTCCTACAAACTAAATAATACATCCTAATTTGGGTTATTTTCACCAAAGACATGTAGCAGAATACATCTCAGTCTAAATTTATGAAGAACAATTATTTATTTGTAAACTTTTATAACAGAAACAAAGAAAAACGTGTTTTTTTTCCAAAATTTTTTTTTTTTTGTTAATTTAGCAAAAAAAAAAACCCCAGCGTGTGATTAAATACCACCAAAAGAAAGCTCTAGTTGTGTGAAGAAAATGATAAAATTTTAGTTTGGGTACAGTGTTGTATGACCGCGCAAATTGTCATTCAAAGTGTGAGAGCGCTGAAACGTGAAAACTGCCCTGATCAGGAAGGTGTAAAATTGTCCTGTATTGAAATGGTAAACAATTAACAGGCTGGAGACAGGTGGATAACAAGGATCCTATAATCTAACTAATTACTAACTCTACCTCAGACCAACCAGCGATTTCACACCTTGAGATGGCTTTACCAGCTTTTCCATCCACATCTCCTACTGCAGATCTTTTGACTAGAGTCTGGAGTGCCTTAAAATCATTACTGAAAATCACGGGCTTCTTTGAATTTACCCTATTATGGCATAACTCAAAATACCTAAAAGTGGTCAAATTACAGGGCTTTCTTGAATGGAGAAAAAAGGGCATGTTATACTTAGCTCAACTATACACAGGCAATTAACCACTTGCCCTCCAGACGATTTACCCCCCTTCCTGACCAGGCCATTTTTGGCGATACAGCGCTGCGTTATTTTAACTGACAATTGTGCAGTCATGCAACGCTGTACCCAAATGAAATTTACGACCTATTTTCCCACAAATAGAACTTTCTTTCGGTGGTATTTGATCGCTTTCGCGTTTTTGAATTTTTTGCGCTATAAACAAAAAAAGACCAACAATTTTGAAAAAAAAAACTATATTTTTTTACTTTTTGTTATTAACCATGTCCAGTAAAAGAACTTAAAAAATCAAATATCATCATAAATTTAGGCCAAAATGTATTATGCTACATGGCTTTGCTAGAAAAAAATCCCAATATGTGTAAATTAATTGGTTTACATGAAAGTTATAGTGTTTACAAATGGCGGTATATATACTGGAATTTTTTGGGTTTTTTTTTTACTAGTAGTGATCAATGACTTATAGCGGGACTGGGCGGCATTCTGACACTGGGGGAAACTGACTTGGTGTCACTGACATCCCCAATGACACCAATACAGTGATAAGTGCTAATAAAAAGTACTGACACTGTACTAATGGCACTGGGCAGGAAGGGGTTAACATGTGGGGCAATCAAAGGGTTAACTGTGTGCTGTGGGCTGTGTGTGCTTTGCACTGTAAGACACTGCTTTGTATGGCTCTGCTATACAGAGCCATACAAAGCAGTGTGCAGGAGCTGACAGGGGAGAGATCTGTATTGCTTACATACAGGTCTCTCCCCGTCGGTAATACTCAGAGATCGCTGGGAGTCGGCGGGGAATCACCGGTCGGAACCTGGTGATTGACAGCCAAGGCTGCGAATGGCGGCGTGGGTAGGGTGCACGTGCCCCCTACCCAGAACTGCAAAATCACGTATATGTACGTGATTTTGTGCACCCATGCCGCCCTGTAGCAGTATTTCTACTATTGGGTGGTGTGGAAGCGGTTAAGATCTGAGTTTTTGTTGTCAAATAAACAATTTTATCAATACCTGCAACTCTGACATGCGCTCCAGGCGCAGAAACGCAACCAAGTACTACATAGGTCAGACTCTATTGATCACTGAAGCAGTTTCTGCTACGGAGAAAAAAAGGTTAATTTCCCATATAAATACATGCCTTCTCTCCTCCATTCAGGTCCCAGCCATGCACAGGAGCAAGATGGCTTGGACTTAGGATATAGGAGAGATTGCTGGTGAATATGGCATTGGAATCAATTCCTTCTATCTCCCTGTACGCCTCCCATACATTTTCTCAGCTCTATACTACATTGGTCCTCCAGAACACCTGCTCAGCTGTTTGCTTGTTGTAAAGAGACACACCCTTATGTTCTAAATGTAGCTCACATAGAGGAAATGTTATCCATATGATTTGGCATTGCCCAAAACTCAAACACTGCTGGACTAAGGTTGTACTTACTATCTCCTTAGTCACCCAAATTACTGTTTCAATGCAGTGTGTTAGTGTTTTACTGGGTGCTTTGGATCCCGAATACTACCAACCTGGCACCTATATTCTGACTTCCCGCCTTTTGTACCTAGCTAAAAAACTGATTGCTAGATAGTGGATGGCTCCCTACTGGGTTGATGGAGAAACATTGGGTAGAACATGTCAAGTCCCTTCTATTGAGAGAACAGATAGCCAATCGCCATCGCAATGCCTTGCATAAATTTCATTTAGTTTGGCATAGCTGGTTAGAAATCCCCTGACTGGCCCCGTCACAACTAGTGATGGATAGGTTGTTGCCAATGTGAGAAATGTTGATAATGCTATAAACAAGTCTTTGCTCAAGGTAAACCCACCTGTTAGAAGCTGTTTAATTGCTTTTATTGTTGTTATTACACATTTTGCAATCTTTGTGACTGTGAGCCGAACTGTTTCATATTTTTGCCCTATAATCTGCAGGATTCCTACGGAATGCAGTACTAAGTTCTTTTTATGATAGTTTGACTTATGGTAGACATGACTAAACTACGCAGGAATGTATGACCTGCATATTATGTACCTTGTTACCTTTCTTGTCTTGCCATTTGATATCAATAAAAGAGTTTAGATTGAAAAAAAAAATTCCTTGGGTGAAAGGAACTGGCAGGTTCAATTTACCTGCTGTTGATGGTATCACTGATGGGAGATCATTTCAATGAACGTAGAGTTTGGGCTTGTGTCAATGGGTCATTGCAGCTTCCTTTCTGCTGCATTCCACCTTCGTTTGAGATCAGTTTGAGATGCTTCTGAGATCATTCAGCATTCATTGAGAGATGCATTTGATCTGTAGTTGACTTCTTTCTATTCTGCATCAACTTGTGTCACATGGCTTTAGAAATGTTCGATACTTTGTCAGGATTTTATTGCTCCCCTGTTGCGGAGATTTCTTTAAGTTGCTGCCCTGTTAAGGTAAAGCCTACCCACTGAAGACACAGACAAGGAAAGAAAAACAAAAACCTGACCTTTAATTCTTTTGTGATCTAAAACACACATAATGATTTTGGCTGGAGTTCCGTTTTAAAATTGGGGATGGTAAAGGTTTAAAGGCCACAATGCTTCACTTACCTAAAGAGAGAATCTATTAGTCATTTCAGTATATTGACCTCAAACTAGGCTAATTCCTATTTCTGCTACCGCAAATTTAGCAAGAATTCATAGACTCACTGCACTTTCGTAAATATTTAATAGATATTTGCTTAAAGCAGAAAACTTTTTATAAATTAATAAATGTATGACAAGAATGTTTTTTTCCTCTCTAACATTATTCTAGGAAAAAAACATAATAAAAGATGTGATTTTACAGGCCATCACTGATTGAATTATTTATTAGAATAACATTATTTAAAACTGAGCTTGATTGCTCTCGTTGTGTTGAGTTTTAAACTGCAGTCCCATTTTCTAGATAAATATTTTTTAATGGTTTGCCTTGGTTAGGTTTCAATGAGCCTTCCCTAGAGGGCTTACTGCTTTCAGAGCATATGGCTAGCAGAAAACAAGGTCATTTGTGTTCTGTCATTTATCCTGTTGATGTAGAAGGAGTTGTAGGATTAGATGAGTATTAGTATATGAAGTTACTGCACATTTGACTTAGATCAAGTGTTCCATGGTATTGATAGCTTGACACATAGGGGTTGATTTACTAAAACTGGAGAGTGTAAAATTTGGTACAACTTGGCACAGACACCAATCGGCTTCCAGGTTTTATTTTGTCATGGCTTAATTAAACAAGCTGACGTTAGAGGCAGATTGGCTACCATGCAGAGCTACACCAGATTTTGCACTCTCCAGTTTAATAAATCAACCCCATTGTCTCAAAGAATATATATTATATTCCACGTCATATCTGTGCAGTACGATAAAGATGAGGACTTAATAAGCAATATACCATTGTCATAGCTGTATACAAGGTTGTAATTCTGGAGTCCATACGATCACAGAATAACCATTTTGCTACCTACCGTAAATCTTGCTTGTCTAGACTTAGCCCTGGTTCACATATGTGCATTCCTGCAGGCCGTATTTTGCATGGGCACAAGAGCTCATGCATTTGAATGGACTCACATGCCCCATGACACACAGGGAAGAAGTCCCTGCACTTCTTTGGAAACCGCAGCCCACACGGGAACCTCGGTTCCCAGTGCGGTTGCGATTTCCAGTGCAGACGGCATGCCATTAGAATTGATGGCACCCACCCACGAGTCCGCATTGTTCTGTGTGGATGGTGCAGCTGTACGGATCTGTGTTTGGACCCGCAGCGGCACCACCCACACATATGTGAACTTAGCCTTAAAGTGCTACTAAATCCACAACAGTAAAATCAGTCTGTATGTGCAGTAAAACATGCTTGTTATACTCACTGTGGAATCTAGTTTATCTAATTTTCTGCATGGTGTAAAAATGATGTTTGATCCTGTCTTCTCTGATTCTCTCCTTCTTCTACTGTCCCCAATTCATCTCCTGATAGAACAGACTCCCGAGGGCAAGCTATACATGCTCAGTTTGGTGTGTATTGCTGGAAAGCTTTTTTTCTCTTGGGAGAGTACATGTGGACATCAGCACAGGGCCAATTAGCACTGTCCAGACAGAGGGTCAGGGGTTCTGTAGCCTCATAAGACAATGAATACACCTCCTACAAGCTTTAAAGTGTTTCTAAACCCACAACAGTAAAATCAGTCTGTATATGCAGTAAAGCATGCTTGTTATACTCACTGTGGAATCTAGGGGGTTATTTTACTGCATTGTCTAAAAACGCTGTTTGATCCTGACTTGTCTGATCCTACCCTTCTTCCTGTGCCCCCTCTTATCTCCTGATAAGACATACAGTATTGTGTGGAGACATGCTGCACATGCTCAGATCGATGTGCATTGCTAGAGAGTTTGGGCAGATTGGGGCAAATTATAGCAAGTAAGTATTCTCCACAAACTGATGCAAATCAAGTTTATTTACTATCTGGGTTAATGAACTTGCTCATCACTAAGGATACATATTTGAGGGAGGGACACCCCTTTTTAATTTTGTATTTATTGAGCCAAATGAATACAAACACTATAGGTCACTGTGCTAATCCATTTTTAAGGCTAATAGCCAAAGGATTGACAAAACCATGCCTGGGGGTGAGCACTGCCCCTGGAGAATTTTTTTAAATACAGTTTTACAGGAATTAGTAAATTTATTAAAGCGGATCTAAATTCAGAGAGTTTTTTACATTCTTTGCATTAAAGTGTTACTAAACCCACAACAGTAAAATCAGTCATTATATGCCGTAAAGCAAGCTTGATATACTCACTGCGGAAACTAAGGGGTTAATCCGCTGCATTGTGTAAAATGGCTGTTTGATCCTGATTTCTCTTATCCTCCCCTTCTTCTAGTGCCCCCCTCTTATCTCCTGATAAGACATTCAGTATCGTGTGGAGTCACGCTGCACATGCTCAGTTTGGTGTATGTTGCTAGTTTTTTTTTGTCTTGGAAGAGTGCATGTGATCAGCACAGACCAATCAGCACTGTCCAGACAGAGGTCAGGGGTTCTGCATCCTCCTAGAGCAGAAAGAAACCTCCTCCTACAAGCTTAAAATAGTGCTCTGCTGGACACTGATAGAAGTCACAAGACTGCTCTAACTGCTGATGAGAAGAGGTATTTAGCAGTTTATATTTACTAAAATAATTTCATTTTCATGTTCTGTGTAATGTGGGAGACTAGATAGAGTGAATGCAGGGTCCTGGGTTTAGTAACACTTTAAGAAATGACACACCAGTTGTCAAGCATAACTGATTATTCACTGGCACTGCAGTTTCATGTTTATACTAATCAACGTCATAGAAAAAGTCATTCAACTTTTTGCTTGTCCAAGCAGTTTCTTCAGTTCTGTAGAGTGACAGGAACATACCTCTGCAGCCTGGTAATTCAATTACCTTAATCCAATCACTATGAAACGTTTCAAGGCAGATGTTGACTGATCAAGAACATGATAGGAGGTGTGAAAGTTTGTGAAACCACTCTGTTTTAATTACAGAAAAAGCTACAGAAAAAGCTAGAGAAACTGCATATACTTTATAGGCAGTGGAATGTCTTCAACATTACAGAATAAATCTTGCGCAATGCATCAAACTACTATTAGCTATGACCTGAATAAATTAGAATCTTTACTGACAAAATCGATTGACAGAAAAATACAATTTAACTAGTGATGAACTTAAAGAGTAACTAAACCTAAAAACAAAAATTGAATATATTGCATTTTACCAATCAATTGATATGGTGGCTGCATTATTTTTTATTCTCAAGCTTTTATTTAAGTCTTTTTGGATATGCCACTACCAGCTTTGTACATCTAGAGAGTGACATTTTTGCCCATTCTTTGCAAAATAGCTCAAGCTCTGTCAGATTGGATGGAGAGCGTCTGTAAGCAGCAATTTTCAAGTCTTGCCACAGATTTTCAATTGGATTTAGGTCTGGACTTTGACTGGGCCATTCTAACATGAATAGGTTTTGATCTAAACCATGCCATTGTAGCTCTGGCTGTATGTTTAGGGTCGGTGTCCTGCTGGACGGTGAACCTCTGCCCTAGTCTCAAGTCTTTTGCAGACTCTTTAACAGGTTTTCTTCTAACATTGCCCTGTATTTGGCTCCATCCATCTTCCCATCAACTCTGACCAGCTCTCCTGTCCCTGCTGAAGAAAAGCATCCCCACAACATGATGCTGCAACCACCATGTTTCACAATGGGGATAGTGTGTTCAGGGTGACGTATAGTGTTAGTTTTCCACCACACTAAAAGCGTTTTGCTTTTAGGCCAAAAAGTTAAATTTTGGTATCATCTGAACAGAGCACCTTCTTCCACATGTTTGCTGTGTCCCCCAAATGGCTTCTTGCAAACTGCAAACAGGACTTCTTATGGCTTTCCTTCAACAATGGCTTTCTTCTTGCCACTCTTCCATAAAGGCCAGATTTGTGGAGTGCATGACTAATAGTTGTCCTGTGGAGAGATTCTCTCACCTGAGCTGTGGATCTCTGCAGCTCCTCCAGAGTTGCCATGGGCCTCTTAGCTTCTTCTCTGATTAATGTTCTCTTTGCCCGGCCTGTCAGTTTAGGTGGACGGCCATGTCATGGTAGGTTTGCGGTTGTGCCATATACCCTTTCCATTTTCGGATGATGAATTGAACAGTGCTGCATGAGATGACCAAAGCTTGGGATTTTTTTTTATAACCTAACCCTGCTTTAAACTTCTCCACAACTTTATTCCTGACCGGTCTGGTGTGTTCCTTGGCCTTTATGATGCTGTTTGCTCACTAATGTTTTCTAACAAACCTCTGAGGGCTTCACAGAACAGCTGTATTTATACTGAGATTAAATTACACACAGGTAGACTTAATTTACTAATTAGGTGACTTCTGAAGACAGTTGGTTCCACTAGATTTTAGCTAGGGGTATCAAAGTAAAACAGAGTGGTTTTAGAAACTTTCACTCCTCCTATCATGTTCTTGATCAGTCAACATCTGCCTTGAAACATTGCATGGTGATCGGATTAAGGTAATTGAATTACCAGGCTGCAAAGGTATGTTCCTGTCACTCTTCAGAACTGAAGAACCTGCTTGGATAAGCAAAAAGTTGAATGACTTTTTCTATGATGTTGATTAGTATAAACGTGAAACTGCAGTGCCAGTGAATAATCAGTTAAGCGTGCCAACTGGTGTGTCATTTCTTAAAGTGTTACTAAATCCAGGACCCTGCATTCACTTTATCTGGTCTCCCACAGTACACAGAACATGACAATGCAATTATTTTAGTAAATATAAACTGCTAAATACCTTTTCTCATCAGCAGTTAGAGCAGTCTTGTGACTTCTATCAGTGTCCAGCAGAGCACTGGTTTAAGCTTGTAGGAGGAGGTTTCTTTTTGCTCTAGGAGAATGCAGAACACCTGACCTCTGTCTGGACAGTGCTGATTGGCCCTGTGCTGATCACATGCACTCTCCCAAGAAAAAAAAAACTCTTTAGCAATATACAGCAAACTGAGCATGTGCAGAGTGTCTCCACACAATATGTCTTATCAGGAGATAAAAGGGTGACACTGGAAGAAGGGGAGGAACAGAGAAGTCAGGATCAAACAGCCTTTTTACACAATGCAGAGGATTAACCCCTTAGGTTCCACAGTGAGTATAACAAGCATGCTTTACGGCATATACAGACTGATTTTACTGTTGTGGGTTTAGTAACACTTTAATGCAGAGAATGTAAAAAAAACTCTGTTACTTTAGAACTGTAATAAATTTACTGCTTCCTGCAAAACTGTTTTAAAAAATTTCCCTTGGGGGCAGTGCTCACCCCCAGGCATGTTATTGTCAATCCTTTGGCAATTAGCCTTAAAAATGGATTACCACAGTGACCTATAGTGTTGTATTCCTTTGACTCAATAAAAAAAAAATAAAAAAGGGGTGTTCCTCCCTCAAAAACATATCATTAGTGATGAGCAACTTCATTAACCCAGATAGTAAATAAACTTGATTTGCATCAGTTTGTGGAGAATATTTACTTGCTATAATTTGCCCCAATCTGAAGTGGATTCCAATGTCAATGAATCAATCTGCTGCTTGTCTCTGGTGCACACTGATAATTGATCTGCTGGAAACAGAGATCCAGCAGGGCTACTCTTACATAGCCATGGGAAGCAAAGGGGATTATGGAGTGAGAAGTGCTACAGCCTTTGACATCACTGCCCCAGTGAGTACACTTATAACTAGAGAGGAGCAGAGTGAAAAAAATATGAAATAATTTTCAATGAAAACAAAATGACGCATTTCCAGTTTTCCTGGAAAACCTCATCAACAAAATACTCGTGAAAAAAATATATATAGTCCATAAAATACATTTCTAATAGCACTAGAGTTTGGGTAGAAAAACCTTCTGTATTGTAGGTGCAGCTGCTCCTAGGTCTGCAAAACTGGATCGGATGCACTCCCCCATATAATCTGCTAGGAAGTGGGGTAGTCTGCAACCTATTCCGTAGGAAGCAAAGGGGATTATGGAGTGAGAAGTGCTACAGCCTTTGACATCACTGCCCCAGTGAGTACATTTATAACTAGAGAGGAGCAGAGTGAAAAAAAATATGAAATAATTTTCAGTGAAAAAAAAATTGATGCATTTCCAGTTTTCCTAGAAAACCCCATCAACAAAATACTCATGAAAAAATATATATAGTCCATAATATACATTTCTAATAGCACTAGAGTTTGGGTAGAAAAACCTTCTGTATTGTAGGTGCAGCTGCTCCTAGGTCTGCAAAACTGGATTGGATGCACTCCCCCATATAATCTGCTAGGAAGTGGGGTAGTCTGCAACCTATTCTCTATTTATACCTAGAGAGGAGCAGAGTGCAAAAAATATGAAATCATTTTCAGTGAAAAAAAAAATGAGGCTAATTAAGGGCCATTTTTGGCACAAAAACAATTCCAGGGTAGTTGAAAGTAGCTTCCATAGCCATAACCCTTAGAAGCTAGATAAAACCCGTTGCAACCTTAAAAACTGCAAAAATCATTCACCATCATTTCACCTTCCCCATTGACTCCAAAGCATTGTGAAGTATTTTTGTGGAGATGTCCTGATGTTGATCATAGGTTAGAGCAGTGGTTCTTAACCTGGGTTTGATCGAACCCCAGGGGTTCGGTGAGTCAGTCTCGGGGGTTCGGCGGAGGTGACCCACACCCGACTCATATGATTTGTGATGACATGCCCCGCTTGTCCATCATTGGCTGCAGGTGGTCATGCAACATCGCTTAGCCCAGTGGTCGGCAAGCCGCGGCTCTTGTGTGCCGGGCGCCCGCTCCCCTCCCTCCTCTCGGGCGGCAGGGACTCAAATGCAATGATTGGCCAGTCTCGGTGCCACTCACATCCTGATAGCCAGTGATTGGCTGTCAGGATGTGTGTAGGCGGGGCAGCGTGACGAACGTGAGAGGAGCTAGGCTCCTCTCACAGTCCGCCCTGAAGACCGGAACGGTGCGGGAATACAGCGAGAGGAACGCGCGGAGCAAAGGTAAGTGAATTGACACAGGGGGGACTTGGGGACTTAATATGGGGGATGAATTAATATGGGGAATGAATTACTATAGGGGGGATGAATTACTATATGGGGGATGAATTATTATATGGGGGATGAATTACTATATGGGGGATGTATTACTATATGGGGGATGTATTACTATATGGGGGATGAATTACTATATGGGGGATGAATTACTATATGGGGGATGTATTACTATGGGGGATGAATTACTATATGGGGGATGAATTATTATATGGGGGATGAATTACTATATGGGGGATGTATTACTATATGGGGGATGTATTACTATATGGGGGATGAATTACTATATGGGGGATGAATTACTATATGGGGGATGTATTACTATGGGGGATGAATTACTATATGGGGGATGAATGACTATATGGGGGATGAATTACTATATGGGGGATGAATTACTATATGGGGAAGGAATTACTATAGGGGGGATGAATTACTATATGGGGGATGAATTACTAT